TTCCGATCCCTGTTAGGACGAATCTGCAAAAGCTCAGGGATATCGCTATCTTTGATCAAAGCAGCCAACCATTGGATCCTACGAATCCTTGCTCACTGGTATTGAAATAAATTGCAATTTTACATGTATTTTTTTATTTAGAGAGAAGCGAAACTTCTCTAAAATAAAATTAAAACTATATTTTTATTTAAAAAAACTAACAGAATTAATTTTTATCTCAGGTACCAAACGGCGGATGCTCTCAACTATGCTTCGCTTTCCCGAAGGACAATCCCATATCATTTACTTGCGACTGCGCAGTGGGTAAACTCTCGCCTGTCGATAATAGCACTTGCGAAAATGTCGAAGAATATTTGATATTTGCTACGCGAACTGAGATTCGCTCTATCAATATCGATCCGCACAATACCAATATGCCTTTTATGCCTGTTGGAAATTTGACAAATGTAGTCGGAGTGGACTTTGACTACGAAGATAAAAAACTACTGTTCACTCAGATCCGTCCTTGGGCGAAGATCGCGTGGATATCTTCGGATCGACCATCTTCCTCCGATTTGCACACATTAATCAGCAAAGGAATTAACCCTGAAGGCATCTCGTATGACTGGACTCAGAAGAAAGTATACTGGACGGATTCTTCCAACAATAGCATCTACGCGATGGATCTTGACGGGTCTAATTTGGTGATGATTGCACGCGTGGATCGGCCACGCGCCATCGTCGTCGACCCGTGCAACGGTTCTCTCTACTTCACGGATTGGGGTCGTTTCGGGACATCCGGGAAGATTTTCAAGGCTACTATGGCGGGATCGCTGAAACGCGCCATCATTGATAAGGATCTTTCGCAACCCAGTGGTCTGGCGATCGATTATGATGATCGGATGCTATATTGGACCGATGCCGTGCGTGAGAAGATCGAGCGGTCCGATCTCGAAGGCAACAACAGGAAAATTCTTATCAGCGCTACCATATATCCCTTCGCTATTACTGTCTTCAGGGAACACATCTATTGGACGGATCTCCAGCTTCGCGGAGTCTATCGAGCGGAGAAATACACGGGAGCCGACAAAATTGAGCTGGTAAAGCGGTTGGAGGACTCCCCGCGTGACCTTCACATTTTTTCTCCGACCAGGCAGCAATGCACCGTTAATCCTTGCAACATTAATAAGGGCGGTTGTGATCAGTCCTGCCATCCGGGCTACAACCGCTCCGCGGAGTGCAAGTGCGACGATAACAGCAGGCTTGTGAACGAAGATAGAATGTGTGTGCCAAAGAACGTTACCTGCGACGCCAGTAAGTTTGCTTGTAGAAACGGTAGATGCATCTCCAGAATGTGGGCATGCGACGGCGACGACGATTGCGGCGACGGCTCCGACGAGAGCACCAGATACTGCTGTGAGTATGACAGAAATTTAATGCGAATATTTTCTGGAGATGCAGTTTATTGAAAGACAATTTGTGAATTTGCATGTTTTAGCTTATCATTCATGCAGTCCAAATGAATTCCGCTGCAACAACGGCCGATGCATCTTCAAAACGTGGAAGTGCGATCACGAAAATGACTGCCGGGACGGTAGCGACGAGGAGGGATGCGTCTACCCACCCTGCGCAGCGGGCGAATTCACCTGTGCCAATTTTCGATGCATACCACAATCTCAGGTGTGCAACGGCATCAACGATTGCAAGGACAATTTCACTTCCGATGAGACACACGAGCGCTGTCCTCGCAATACTACATGCCCGTTAAATCATCTCAAATGCGAAAAGACAAACATCTGCGTGGAGCCTTACTGGCTGTGCGACGGCGATAACGATTGCGGTGACAATAGCGATGAGAATCCGATTCATTGCGCCCAGAGAACTTGCCCCCAGAACAGCTTCCGATGTCCTAATCACAGGTAATGTTTTGCATTTGATTAATCGATAATTTTAATAACTAGATATATTTTAAAAAAATATGTGAAAAATTATAATAAAGTTTGCTTTAGACAATTTATAATTGGCAATAAATTTTATTTATAAATTTTATATATCATGTGTAAAATATAGAAAATATTTGAACATGTAAAATACATACAAATTAAAATATATATTAAAACATGTAACGTGTAAAATTATAAATAGAATTTTGTATTGAATTTTTTGGCGGATTATAGATCGCGTTTTAAAAGAGGTCTTAATATAGAACGTATCGTTCGTTATATATAGGTGCATCCCAGCCACTTGGTATTGTGACGGAGATGATGATTGTTTGGACGGAAGCGACGAGCCTCCTGGTTACTGCCAATCCGAGGGTAGAACATGTTTCGGCGATTTGTTCACTTGTGATAACGGCAACTGTATTCCTAGAATTTACATCTGCGATGGAGACAACGATTGTCTGGATAACTCCGATGAAGATGAGCGTCATCAATGCAGTAAGTTTTACGATTTGCAATCTCTCTCTCTCTCTCTCTTTTCGTTGATTGATTAATTGATTGATTCATTTATTCAAGACTTAATTTTATTTATAACAATTCAATCTTTCGCATTGTTATAAGCATAAATTATTTTTTGTTGTGTTCTTTATTATGTTGTGATTAATTTAATTTTCAGACGACAGAAAATGCGACGAAGAAACGGAGTTCACTTGCACCGCGAACAAAATGTGGAATCGCGCCCAATGCATCCCAAAAAAATGGCTGTGCGATGGAGATCCGGATTGCGTTGACGGGGCTGATGAGAACGTGACTTTGCTCCATTGCCCGCCGCCAACTCCTTGCGCCGAGAATCAATTCACCTGCGATAACGGGCGATGTCTGAATCGTAACTGGTTATGCGATCATGATAATGATTGCGGCGACGGCAGCGACGAGGGCAAGTCTTGCAAGTATAAACCCTGTAATAGCCAAGAGTTCACTTGTCAGAACTTCAAATGTATACGCAAGCAATTCCGTTGCGACGGCCAGGATGATTGTGGCGATCATTCGGACGAAGTAGAATGTCGTAAGTATAGTTTGTAATATTAACGTATCATAAAACATACAAAAAAGAGAGAGAATTATGATCAATTCTTCGAATTAATACGCACGTCAGAAAAAAATAAAAATTTTTAATTTTAGGTAAACTCAAATATTTTAAATGAACATATTCTCTCAATTTTCTTCTTGACATGGCAACAATTGAAATATGATTGATAAAAGTGACTATTGTTTACCTTTTAGCATCTAGAGCAAAGAACACAACGTGTCCGAATCCAAAGGATTTCATGTGCGCAAACGGTAATTGCATCGATTCGCAACTGGTATGCAATAAGGAACCGGATTGTGCCGACGAGAGTGATGAGCCGCTGCACTGCTACGTGGATGAGTGCGCTCGTATCGAGATGAATCAGTGCGGACATAAGTGTGTCGACACACCGACCAGCTTTTACTGCGAGTGTAATCCCGGCTATAAATTGTTGGCCGATGGCAAGGCCTGCGACGACATCGACGAGTGCATCGAAACGCCTCAAGTGTGCAGTCAACAATGTGAGAACACGCCCGGCGGATATTACTGCAAATGCAACGAGCGATGGTACGAAAGAGAAGCCGACGAGCATACGTGCAAGCGCAGAGACAACATTCAACCATGGATCGTATTCACGAATAAATATTACGTCAGAAACATGTCGATTGACGCGTCCAACTATAGTCTGATGCATCAGGATCTGGTTAACGTCGTGGCACTGGACGCTGATTACGCCCAGCAGATGTTGTATTTCTGCGATGTTACCGCGAAGACGATATACAAGTACGTCAGTGTGCTTTTGTTGTTTAATATTATAGTGCACGAAGATAGACGTGTTTACTGATGAATTTATTCTCGTATAAGCAATTTAATTAATATTAAATAATTCACTTATCAGAATAAATTCATTTATTAGAAAATTATTCTCAAATAGAGAGCTAACTTAACAACTAGCAGAGTCGAACCTGAAGATAAGTATTTGCTGTCTTTTCATAAAAATAAATACGCTTTTTTATTTAGAGCACCGGTGAACGGCGGCGAAAGAGAACCCATCATCCGTCATGATAGTTTGGGTCTGGAAGGAATCGCTATCGATTGGATTGGTAGAAAATTATATTGGTTGGATCGTCACGCGAAACATCTAGATGTTGCCGAACTCGACGGCACCAACAGAAAAACTTTACATTCTGGGATAGCGGATCCGCGCGCGATTGCGATTCACCCTGGTACTGGATATTTGTACTTTACGTCCTGGCATCTTCAGGTTGGATATAATATTAAACGCTTCAACTTTTTCGTAAAGGAAACTTTTATGTAATAATCATGTCTTAAATTTCAGGCATATATTGGTAAAATGGGCATGGACGGTAGCAACTTTACTCGAATTCTGACATGGGAGGATAACATTGCTTGGCCGAATGCGTTGACGATCGATTACTTCACCGATCGCATTTTCTGGGCGGATGCACATTTGGATTACATCGCCTTTGCTGATCTCGAGGGCCACAATCGACGGATCGTTCTGTCTGGCTCTTCGGTGCCGCACGTGTTTGCCATCACCGTGTTCGACGACTTCATTTACTGGACCGATTGGAATTTAAAAGCGATTAGCAGAGCAGAAAAGTTCTCTGGCGCTCGTTTACAAGTGCTGCGCAACACTACACATCGGCCCTACGATATACATGCCTATCACCCGCTTCGACAGTTGCCCTACAATAATCCTTGCGCGGAGAACAACGGCGGTTGCTCGCATCTCTGTCTTATCGCACCACCCGCCAGCTCGTACTTGCTCGAAGGATATGGTCAGCCTGGTGTCACCTCCTACAAATGCAAGTGTCCGAATCAATTCATCCTGGATAAGAATAAGGACAACAAGACATGTATAGCGAACTGCACCGCAGGCCAGCATCGTTGCGGACCACCCGATGAGAAGTGCATTCCTTGGTATTGGAGGTGAGATATTAAAATATATTTAAGTCGTGATATTTTTTAAAGAGTTTAGGAGAGGATCACACGATAAAAATTATATGATAGATGCGACGGAGAGAAGGATTGCAAAGACGGTTCCGACGAGTCGATGAGTTGTCCGCCGAGAAACTGTCGACCGAGCGTATTCCAATGCGCAAATAAAAATTGTACGCCGAGCGTGACGATCTGCGACGGAGTCGACGACTGCGGAGATAAGAGCGACGAAGCTAAGTGTGCACTTGAATGTGGAGAACTCGAGTTCAAGTGCAAGTCCAACGGTCGCTGCATACACGATTCGTGGAAATGCGATGGAGACGCTGACTGTAAAGATGGCAGCGACGAGGATCCTGCTATTTGTCGTGAGTAAAGTAGCTTGTAGTATTCGCGATTTAGGTAAAATGTGCGAATTCTGAGTAATCTAATCTATTTTCGCTTTTATTTTAATTCACACCAACTATATTCTCCTTCAGATAATCGTACCTGCGACCCGAGCACCGAGTTCAGTTGCAAGAATGGTAAGTGTATTCCCAAGCTATGGATGTGTGATTCTGACAATGACTGCGGAGATGATAGCGACGAACCAGCGTACCTGTGCCGTCAAAAGAATTGCACGACCGGATGGCAGCGTTGCCCGGGACATGCAAACTACCGATGCATTCCAAAGTGGTTGTTCTGCGACGGCAAGGATGACTGCCGCGATGGTTCCGACGAGCGTCCGGAGAACTGTCCAAAGTGCGATCCCAAAATGGACTTCAAGTGCGCCAATAATCGGTGCGTGCCGAAACAGTGGCTCTGCGATTTCGCAGACGATTGCGGGGACGGCAGCGACGAGGCGGACATGATGTGCAAAGATAGGTACCGCGAGTGCTCCGAATCTGAGTTTAAATGTAGAAACGGCAAGTGCATCGCGTCCAGATGGAGATGCGACGCCGAAGACGACTGCGGCGACAACAGCGATGAGGAGGAATGTCATCGATGGGTGTGCAAGGTACGTAAACGGAACGATGAACCGATTCTCGATTTTGTTATAGCATCACGATGCAATATATATTTCTTTTACATTACTACTTGTATTTCTCATCTCGCAGAGCGAGAGCTTCCAATGTAAAAGCGGTCATTGCATCGCACCGTATCTTCGTTGCGATGGAGCACGAGATTGCCGCGATATGAGCGATGAACTCGGTTGCCCGCCTAGATATCCCGGAGGAAAATATTGTCCGCAATCCCGATTCGAATGTAACAACAATCTCTGCGTCTCGCTCACCGACATCTGCGATGGCACTGACGATTGCGGTGATAATTCCGACGAAAATCCAACTATGTGTGGTAAGTTTATTACTAATAAGTTTTTTATGTAATAGGAGTAGGAAGTTAATGCTCTGTATTACGTTTGTGCAGCGAATTTCGAGTGTGACACGCACAGACGATTCCAATGTGCCAACCACAAGTGTATTGCCAGGTACCAGTTATGCGACGGAATCGACAATTGTGGCGACGGGTCAGACGAGAACAACATGACGATGTGTATGAAACAGACTCGTCCGTGCGACTCGATCTCAGAATACACCTGCGCGAATAAGAAATGCATCGATCGTATAAGACTCTGCGATCTTGCGGACGATTGCGGCGATTTGTCAGACGAATTGGGATGCCGTGAGTTCTATTTGCTTATATATTCTTCTACTCGATCACGTCCTATCGATCATCATAAATTATTTCTTTTATTATTTGCTTTTTCGCGTTTTCAGATCATACTCATCACTGTTCGGCAAACGATCGTGGCGGTTGCGCGCACGAATGCCACAACATTACGAACGGCGGCTACATCTGCGCCTGCTATCCTGGTTACATAATTTCACCTGATAGTAGAAAACACTGCATGGACATTGACGAGTGTCAGACCGATCAACATCAGTGTTCTCACATCTGTACCAATTTGAATGGCTCGTATGCCTGCTCTTGCCGGCAAGGTTTCCAACTGTCAGATAGATATAGCGGTGTGTGTCGCGCCGAAGACGATAACATTGTCGTGCTGTTCGCCAACGGACCCGAACTCAGGGTTCCGATCCCTGTTAGGACGAATCTGCAAAAGCTCAGGGATATCGCTATCTTTGATCAAAGCAGCCAACCATTGGATCCTACGAATCCTTGCTCACTGGTATTGAAATAAATTGCAATTTTACATGTATTTTTTTATTTAGAGAGAAGCGAAACTTCTCTAAAATAAAATTAAAACTATATTTTTATTTAAAAAAACTAACAGAATTAATTTTTATCTCAGGTACCAAACGGCGGATGCTCTCAACTATGCTTCGCTTTCCCGAAGGACAATCCCATATCATTTACTTGCGACTGCGCAGTGGGTAAACTCTCGCCTGTCGATAATAGCACTTGCGAAAATGTCGAAGAATATTTGATATTTGCTACGCGAACTGAGATTCGCTCTATCAATATCGATCCGCACAATACCAATATGCCTTTTATGCCTGTTGGAAATTTGACAAATGTAGTCGGAGTGGACTTTGACTACGAAGATAAAAAACTACTGTTCACTCAGATCCGTCCTTGGGCGAAGATCGCGTGGATATCTTCGGATCGACCATCTTCCTCCGATTTGCACACATTAATCAGCAAAGGAATTAACCCTGAAGGCATCTCGTATGACTGGACTCAGAAGAAAGTATACTGGACGGATTCTTCCAACAATAGCATCTACGCGATGGATCTTGACGGGTCTAATTTGGTGATGATTGCACGCGTGGATCGGCCACGCGCCATCGTCGTCGACCCGTGCAACGGTTCTCTCTACTTCACGGATTGGGGTCGTTTCGGGACATCCGGGAAGATTTTCAAGGCTACTATGGCGGGATCGCTGAAACGCGCCATCATTGATAAGGATCTTTCGCAACCCAGTGGTCTGGCGATCGATTATGATGATCGGATGCTATATTGGACCGATGCCGTGCGTGAGAAGATCGAGCGGTCCGATCTCGAAGGCAACAACAGGAAAATTCTTATCAGCGCTACCATATATCCCTTCGCTATTACTGTCTTCAGGGAACACATCTATTGGACGGATCTCCAGCTTCGCGGAGTCTATCGAGCGGAGAAATACACGGGAGCCGACAAAATTGAGCTGGTAAAGCGGTTGGAGGACTCCCCGCGTGACCTTCACATTTTTTCTCCGACCAGGCAGCAATGCACCGTTAATCCTTGCAACATTAATAAGGGCGGTTGTGATCAGTCCTGCCATCCGGGCTACAACCGCTCCGCGGAGTGCAAGTGCGACGATAACAGCAGGCTTGTGAACGAAGATAGAATGTGTGTGCCAAAGAACGTTACCTGCGACGCCAGTAAGTTTGCTTGTAGAAACGGTAGATGCATCTCCAGAATGTGGGCATGCGACGGCGACGACGATTGCGGCGACGGCTCCGACGAGAGCACCAGATACTGCTGTGAGTATGACAGAAATTTAATGCGAATATTTTCTGGAGATGCAGTTTATTGAAAGACAATTTGTGAATTTGCATGTTTTAGCTTATCATTCATGCAGTCCAAATGAATTCCGCTGCAACAACGGCCGATGCATCTTCAAAACGTGGAAGTGCGATCACGAAAATGACTGCCGGGACGGTAGCGACGAGGAGGGATGCGTCTACCCACCCTGCGCAGCGGGCGAATTCACCTGTGCCAATTTTCGATGCATACCACAATCTCAGGTGTGCAACGGCATCAACGATTGCAAGGACAATTTCACTTCCGATGAGACACACGAGCGCTGTCCTCGCAATACTACATGCCCGTTAAATCATCTCAAATGCGAAAAGACAAACATCTGCGTGGAGCCTTACTGGCTGTGCGACGGCGATAACGATTGCGGTGACAATAGCGATGAGAATCCGATTCATTGCGCCCAGAGAACTTGCCCCCAGAACAGCTTCCGATGTCCTAATCACAGGTAATGTTTTGCATTTGATTAATCGATAATTTTAATAACTAGATATATTTTTAAAAAATATGTGAAAAATTATAATAAAGTTTGCTTTAGACAATTTATAATTGGCAATAAATTTTATTTATAAATTTTATATATCATGTGTAAAATATAGAAAATATTTGAACATGTAAGATACATACAAATTAAAATATATATTAAAACATGTAACGTGTAAAATTATAAATAGAATTTTGTATTGAATTTTTTGGCGGATTATAGATCGCGTTTTAAGAGGTCTTAATATAGAAAACGTATCGTTCGTTATATATAGGTGCATCCCAGCCACTTGGTATTGCGACGGAGATGATGATTGTTTGGACGGAAGCGACGAGCCTCCTGGTTACTGCCAATCCGAGGGTAGAACATGTTTCGGCGATTTGTTCACTTGTGATAACGGCAACTGTATTCCTAGAATTTACATCTGCGATGGAGACAACGATTGTCTGGATAACTCCGATGAAGATGAGCGTCATCAATGCAGTAAGTTTTACGATTTGCAATCTCTCTCTCTCTCTCTCTTTTCGTTGATTGATTAATTGATTGATTCATTTATTCAAGACTTAATTTTATTTATAACAATTCAATCTTTCGCATTGTTATAAGCATAAATTATTTTTTGTTGTGTTCTTTATTATGTTGTGATTAATTTAATTTTCAGACGACAGAAAATGCGACGAAGAAACGGAGTTCACTTGCACCGCGAACAAAATGTGGAATCGCGCCCAATGCATCCCAAAAAAATGGCTGTGCGATGGAGATCCGGATTGCGTTGACGGGGCTGATGAGAACGTGACTTTGCTCCATTGCCCGCCGCCAACTCCTTGCGCCGAGAATCAATTCACCTGCGATAACGGGCGATGTCTGAATCGTAACTGGTTATGCGATCATGATAATGATTGCGGCGACGGCAGCGACGAGGGCAAGTCTTGCAAGTACAAACCCTGTAATAGCCAAGAGTTCACTTGTCAGAACTTCAAATGTATACGCAAGCAATTCCGTTGCGACGGCCAGGATGATTGTGGCGATCATTCGGACGAAGTAGAATGTCGTAAGTATAGTTTGTAATATTAACGTATCATAAAACATACAAAAAAGAGAGAGAATTATGATCAATTCTTCGAATTAATACGCACGTCAGAAAAAAATAAAAATTTTTAATTTTAGGTAAACTCAAATATTTTAAATGAACATATTCTCTCAATTTTCTTCTTGACATGGCAACAATTGAAATATGATTGATAAAAGTGACTATTGTTTACCTTTTAGCATCTAGAGCAAAGAACACAACGTGTCCGAATCCAAAGGATTTCATGTGCGCAAACGGTAATTGCATCGATTCGCAACTGGTATGCAATAAGGAACCGGATTGTGCCGACGAGAGTGATGAGCCGCTGCACTGCTACGTGGATGAGTGCGCTCGTATCGAGATGAATCAGTGCGGACATAAGTGTGTCGACACACCGACCAGCTTTTACTGCGAGTGTAATCCCGGCTATAAATTGTTGGCCGATGGCAAGGCCTGCGACGACATCGACGAGTGCATCGAAACGCCTCAAGTGTGCAGTCAACAATGTGAGAACACGCCCGGCGGATATTACTGCAAATGCAACGAGCGATGGTACGAAAGAGAAGCCGACGAGCATACGTGCAAGCGCAGAGACAACATTCAACCATGGATCGTATTCACGAATAAATATTACGTCAGAAACATGTCGATTGACGCGTCCAACTATAGTCTGATGCATCAGGATCTGGTTAACGTCGTGGCACTGGACGCTGATTACGCCCAGCAGATGTTGTATTTCTGCGATGTTACCGCGAAGACGATATACAAGTACGTCAGTGTGCTTTTGTTGTTTAATATTATAGTGCACGAAGATAGACGTGTTTACTGATGAATTTATTCTCGTATAAGCAATTTAATTAATATTAAATAATTCACTTATCAGAATAAATTCATTTATTAGAAAATTATTCTCAAATAGAGAGCTAACTTAACAACTAGCAGAGTCGAACCTGAAGATAAGTATTTGCTGTCTTTTCATAAAAATAAATACGCTTTTTTATTTAGAGCACCGGTGAACGGCGGCGAAAGAGAACCCATCATCCGTCATGATAGTTTGGGTCTGGAAGGAATCGCTATCGATTGGATTGGTAGAAAATTATATTGGTTGGATCGTCACGCGAAACATCTAGATGTTGCCGAACTCGACGGCACCAACAGAAAAACTTTACATTCTGGGATAGCGGATCCGCGCGCGATTGCGATTCACCCTGGTACTGGATATTTGTACTTTACGTCCTGGCATCTTCAGGTTGGATATAATATTAAACGCTTCAACTTTTTCGTAAAGGAAACTTTTATGTAATAATCATGTCTTAAATTTCAGGCATATATTGGTAAAATGGGCATGGACGGTAGCAACTTTACTCGAATTCTGACATGGGAGGATAACATTGCTTGGCCGAATGCGTTGACGATCGATTACTTCACCGATCGCATTTTCTGGGCGGATGCACATTTGGATTACATCGCCTTTGCTGATCTCGAGGGCCACAATCGACGGATCGTTCTGTCTGGCTCTTCGGTGCCGCACGTGTTTGCCATCACCGTGTTCGACGACTTCATTTACTGGACCGATTGGAATTTAAAAGCGATTAGCAGAGCAGAAAAGTTCTCTGGCGCTCGTTTACAAGTGCTGCGCAACACTACACATCGGCCCTACGATATACATGCCTATCACCCGCTTCGACAGTTGCCCTACAATAATCCTTGCGCGGAGAACAACGGCGGTTGCTCGCATCTCTGTCTTATCGCACCACCCGCCAGCTCGTACTTGCTCGAAGGATATGGTCAGCCTGGTGTCACCTCCTACAAATGCAAGTGTCCGAATCAATTCATCCTGGATAAGAATAAGGACAACAAGACATGTATAGCGAACTGCACCGCAGGCCAGCATCGTTGCGGACCACCCGATGAGAAGTGCATTCCTTGGTATTGGAGGTGAGATATTAAAATATATTTAAGTCGTGATATTTTTTAAAGAGTTTAGGAGAGGATCACACGATAAAAATTATATGATAGATGCGACGGAGAGAAGGATTGCAAAGACGGTTCCGACGAGTCGATGAGTTGTCCGCCGAGAAACTGTCGACCGAGCGTATTCCAATGCGCAAATAAAAATTGTACGCCGAGCGTGACGATCTGCGACGGAGTCGACGACTGCGGAGATAAGAGCGACGAAGCTAAGTGTGCACTTGAATGTGGAGAACTCGAGTTCAAGTGCAAGTCCAACGGTCGCTGCATACACGATTCGTGGAAATGCGATGGAGACGCTGACTGTAAAGATGGCAGCGACGAGGATCCTGCTATTTGTCGTGAGTAAAGTAGCTTGTAGTATTCGCGATTTAGGTAAAATGTGCGAATTCTGAGTAATCTAATCTATTTTCGCTTTTATTTTAATTCACACCAACTATATTCTCCTTCAGATAATCGTACCTGCGACCCGAGCACCGAGTTCAGTTGCAAGAATGGTAAGTGTATTCCCAAGCTATGGATGTGTGATTCTGACAATGACTGCGGAGATGATAGCGACGAACCAGCGTACCTGTGCCGTCAAAAGAATTGCACGACCGGATGGCAGCGTTGCCCGGGACATGCAAACTACCGATGCATTCCAAAGTGGTTGTTCTGCGACGGCAAGGATGACTGCCGCGATGGTTCCGACGAGCGTCCGGAGAACTGTCCAAAGTGCGATCTCAAAATGGACTTCAAGTGCGCCAATAATCGGTGCGTGCCGAAACAGTGGCTCTGCGATTTCGCAGACGATTGCGGGGACGGCAGCGACGAGGCGGACATGATGTGCAAAGATAGGTACCGCGAGTGCTCCGAATCTGAGTTTAAATGTAGAAACGGCAAGTGCATCGCGTCCAGATGGAGATGCGACGCCGAAGACGACTGCGGCGACAACAGCGATGAGGAGGAATGTCATCGATGGGTGTGCAAGGTACGTAAACGGAACGATGAACCGATTCTCGATTTTGTTATAGCATCACGATGCAATATATATTTCTTTTACATTACTACTTGTATTTCTCATCTCGCAGAGCGAGAGCTTCCAATGTAAAAGCGGTCATTGCATCGCACCGTATCTTCGTTGCGATGGAGCACGAGATTGCCGCGATATGAGCGATGAACTCGGTTGCCCGCCTAGATATCCCGGAGGAAAATATTGTCCGCAATCCCGATTCGAATGTAACAACAATCTCTGCGTCTCGCTCACCGACATCTGCGATGGCACTGACGATTGCGGTGATAATTCCGACGAAAATCCAACTATGTGTGGTAAGTTTATTACTAATAAGTTTTTTATGTAATAGGAGTAGGAAGTTAATGCTCTGTATTACGTTTGTGCAGCGAATTTCGAGTGTGACACGCACAGACGATTCCAATGTGCCAACCACAAGTGTATTGCCAGGTACCAGTTATGCGACGGAATCGACAATTGTGGCGACGGGTCAGACGAGAACAACATGACGATGTGTATGAAACAGACTCGTCCGTGCGACTCGATCTCAGAATACACCTGCGCGAATAAGAAATGCATCGATCGTATAAGACTCTGCGATCTTGCGGACGATTGCGGCGATTTGTCAGACGAATTGGGATGCCGTGAGTTCTATTTGCTTATATATTCTTCTACTCGATCACGTCCTATCGATCATCATAAATTATTTCTTTTATTATTTGCTTTTTCGCGTTTTCAGATCATACTCATCACTGTTCGGCAAACGATCGTGGCGGTTGCGCGCACGAATGCCACAACATTACGAACGGCGGCTACATCTGCGCCTGCTATCCTGGTTACATAATTTCACCTGATAGTAGAAAACACTGCATGGACATTGACGAGTGTCAGACCGATCAACATCAGTGTTCTCACATCTGTACCAATTTGAATGGCTCGTATGCCTGCTCTTGCCGGCAAGGTTTCCAACTGTCAGATAGATATAGCGGTGTGTGTCGCGCCGAAGACGATAACATTGTCGTGCTGTTCGCCAACGGACCCGAACTCAGGGCCTACGATTTGCATACCAGAGAAGAGATGGATGTGATAGATAACGAGAAGAGAGTGCAAGCCGTCGATTTCGATCCCAAGACGGAATACATTTTCTGGATTGATTCATACGACAATACCATTAAGCGATCTTATATGGTAAATGCCAAAGAAGGCCAGGCCAAGATTGGACACGCGCAGGATCTCAATATGAAGAGTATGTATTATTCAATTCTCTAGATGTTGATTAGTTATCGTTTGTTAAATGTTAAGATATTTGATCTCAGTTTCTTACAAATTTAATTTATTTTCTTAAGTTTTTTCGAAGTATTTCGATTCTTATCGATGTCATTAATTTTTAAATTTTTTACTTTAAATCTTCGAACATTTAAATATTCTTAAAGATTTGCATCTTTGTAAATCAAAGTTCTTAAAATTTTTTACAATCGTAGAGATATTTATAAACTATATATATATAGTTTATAAAAATTTCTTTCTCTCTCTTTCTTTCTCTACGGAATGATTAATACGATATTTTAATTTGCAAAACACATTTATATTATTCGCGAGCATTGTCAGCCATATTCGCTAATAATATTAATTTTTACAGTTGATTCTAAGCCGACAAGTTTAGCAGTGGATTGGATCTCTGGCAATCTGTACTGGAGCGAGGTCGATCAAACAGTCGCTCCTCCTCACGGTCGGATCATGATGTCCAAATCGGATGGCAGATATCGGCGTAGTATAGTCACAATGAATCTCGAGCAACCGACATCGGTGGTCGTGGATCCAGAGCGAGGTGAACTTGTGTGGGCTGACGCGGGTAATCAACCAAAGATCGAAATAGCGTGGATGGATGGCGATAGACGCAAATTGCTCGTGGCCGAACGAATCGCCAGTCCTTCGGCTCTTACTATCGATTACGCTATGGAACACACGCTTTATTGGTCCGACATCAAGCTGGATATTATCGAGGCGATCAACTTGGCCGGTACCAACAGAAGAATTGTTCTACGGGTCGGAATACCGCTTAGGCACCCGGTGGCGTTGGACGTTTTCGAGAATAATCTTTATTGGGTCACCAAGCAGACGGGCGAGCTCGTTCGGCAAGATAAATTCGGCAGGGGAGTTCCGCATACTATCATCAAGAATCTTCCTAGTCCCGGTGGTCTCAAAGTCTATCATCAGCTGAGGTACAATACCAGCCTGAGAGATCCTTGCCACAACGACCAGTGTAGTCATCTCTGCGTAACGATTCCGGGCGGCCATCGCTGTCTCTGCTCGGACAACATTGATCCTCTTCAACATCTGCTGAGGGATAACAATGAGAGGCATTGCGACGCCACCAATGAGAGACCTCTGCCAGCGCCCAGAATATGTCGTTGCCAGAACGGCGGACGATGTCAGGAGGAGGATGATAAGTTGGCTTGCGATTGCCGCGAGGAATTCCATGGTGAATTTTGTGAGATGGCGGCGGTCGCCGCCAGAGCAGGTGGATCCACTGCTGCTATAGTCATTCCCATAGTCGTATGCCTGCTGGTATTGTTCTGTGCTGCCGCGATCTTCATGGTTCTCAAGAAGCGACCATTGTAAGCGTAATAGTCTTAAATACAATAACGCAATTTTATTTCTTTTATAAAACTTGATTATTATTTCTAGCGGCAAACCTGGTGGTCTCGGCAGTCTCACGGGCGCTCAGAGTGTTTCCTTCCGCCAAGGCAGTAATGTAGAGTTTGGCGAAGCTGCTCATGAAAGGATGGTAAGCTCTTTGCTCTTCTTTGTTTTAGAAAGACGAATCACACATATCAGTAGAATATATCAATAAATTTTTCTCACATTGAAACATTTGTTCTAAGCGTTAACATTCGCGTTGTTTTATGCTTACAGGAACCTCTCGATGTAGAGTATAATCTGAATGATGTTGCCAATAAGAACCGAGATTTCAGCAATCCGATGTATGACGCGGTGAATATGGAGAGCGGTACGACAAACGGTACCAGCGTTGGTAACATGTACGAAGCACCGGCAGAGATGAAACCTTCGAGTATGCAGCACAAAGAGCCCCCGCAGTTGAATCTAAAGAGGAGAGAACTGGACCCGACGCCCATCGACTCGGGCAAGGATACCCAGCAGCTGGTTGAGGAGGACAAGTCCGAGTGCTAGGATTAATTTTTGTTTTCTATTGTGTTTCTCGAACTTGAACGCAGATCGACATGTTTGACGACTGCGAAGAATATATACATAGGGACAAACGTAAATTAGTTTACCACTTCTACGTAAATAGTGCGGATTACTTGCAGCTGCTCGTACGTTATTTATTAAGCTGTTCACTGAGACGTTTTAACATGATGTGTGACGATTCAATTAAAGTTCTTTCTTATCTAGTGATCCTTGGATATGAGAATATCGAGATTTCTAGGATGGAAAAAGGATATCAACAGATTATATTGTCATGGATATAGAGGTTCTTAGATTCACGAATTTTTAAAAGTTGGACTTAATGTAAAATTCTTAAATTTTAATTGTAAATTTGTACGTTTTATATGTTTTCTTTACAATACAATTTCTCTCATTTAAGAATTCACGATAAAGAAATTTTAGAATGTGGTTTTGTAAGGATTTATAAGTCTACAACTCTTTACACATTCTTGCATCAAAGAACCTTGATACATAGATGTTCAACTTCCCAGCTCGTCAGATCTAAGAATCTTTGACCACAGGTTCTTATCTCTAGATCCTTTATACCAGGAATTGTGAACTGGCTTTAGGATCTTAAATTTTTCAAGAATATGGAATGACAAATGGCAATGGTCGCGAATCGACAACATCGATTTTGCGAGAACAGTGAGGCGAAAGCGAATTGCAATAGGCACGATTGTGTCATTTTTTACTAGGTGTGTGATTTGTAAGTCTTGTAAATATTATTGCTAATAATAAAATATAACGCGTTTATGTTATCTGTGTACCATACAAAACGCAACACATTCCATTTTATTTTGAAGTTGTTACTGACAAAGTGTAACGATAACGCGGAACACTTTTTTTCGATAGCTAAGACGTGTGTGTATATGTGTATGCGTGCAGATGCGCGCGGTGCTCGAATTGATGATGCATTCGATTCTTCGATAATCTTTCGGAACATCTGCCATAATATATATATATAT